CATTATGATATTTTTTAACCCACCTCTTTCACCACGTCGCCTAACGTAACTTATGTCTTGATACATGAAAAATGAGGAGGTTAAGAAATGAAACTATTTTTACAAGTATACGCAATTTAAATCCGGAAAATAGTTTCATTTCCCATGTGTAACAATCGCGAAAACCTAAGAACTCGATATGAGATGGTTAAGTTTGAATCCATTGTAGCCTGTCACCTGACACTCCCTCCTCACTGACTGGGTCACGTAGTTTGGACGCACTCTTTTAAACTTCTAATTAGCATGAATTAGTATTGGTGGTAATAGATAATAGGGTAAGGACACCACAGCATAAAACAAATATAAAAATAATGTGCTTGCTTTTGGTAGGTCAATGACTTGCTTGTTTATTTTTGTGGATAGGCTAACCAAGTTTTATCGATTATAAAATTTGAACATAAATAAGTGTACGAGACACATGATTTTAAATATTCAAAGCCAAAGTAGCATTGATGGATGTCATTAACAATATATTGAACAATATAACAATGATGCAATCGTGGAATTCTGTATTATACAACCTTCAAATATTCTTCTGGACAGAATAAAGTCATTCCCGACTTGCCTTTTCGAATAAAATTATTATTTTTGTGTATTGAACCTTACGTATATTCGAATGTACAGATCCTGTAGAGCAGGTTGTTATAACATTAGATAATGAAAATGGACCACTCAATGTAAACCAGACCGATAAATGATTAAATAAGTGTCATTAAAATCAGAAAATTTGGTGACATTTTTTTTGAATATGACGAAAGATATAATATTAACAAAACCAAGTGTCGCGACTTGACGTTAAAAACGGTCCAGCAATACAAAATGCTCTCGAAGATTGTTAATGCGTCTAAAGTTCGAAACGAGTCTAAAAAACATATTTACATTTATAAAAATAAGAAAGATTTCAAGAAAACTGCGTGAGATTTGAAGGTTTAAACTAACATTTTTTCGACAAGCGAGGCCATGTTATGAAAGCGGTTGTACATAAACTAGACAATGATAAAAACAAAAGATACAGAGCTGAACTTTGAAATTCCGGATTTTGATTTAACAGCCCATATCATTCTACAAAAGTTTTGTTTATAGTGCCCGTCCCTATCGACCTCTTGGTTATGCGGGAAGGGCACCATGACCCGTGCGAGCGAGCTCGCACAGGGACCATCTAGGTCAGGTCCTAACCCCGAATCAGCACGTTTGCACGTACTTCATCCGGTTCTCTGTAAGACTAGTGCCTTAGGTAAACCGCCGCGGGTGCACGTATAGCACCCTCCCTATCTGGAAAATAGGGAGCGTGCCTAAGCACGCTCAGTTCTCGTCGCGCTCCGCACGCCTAACGGTAGCCACCGCTGAGCCGCCGATTCTAAGCCGGCTACCAAATCTCCTCATTGGTGGCAGAGCTATAAGGCACGCTCACTTCCCGACGCCCGAATGAACGGCGTCTCTTCAGTTCCCAAATTCCTACGCGGCCGGAGGGGGCGGAAAATGTCTAGCTCAACCTCTACTAGCTCTCCGGGGCAGTGCCGGAGATGCCAAGGGGCAGTGTCCTGCGAAGATGGCAGGACACAACCACCGACTTAAATGGCAACTGACTCTCCTTGTTTCACGCCCTCAACTAGACCGCTACTAAGACGCGCTAACTGCGCGAGGGACGAACGCGCCGGTTACACACTACCGGGGTAGACGAACGTGTTCGTCCCTGCAGCTAACCACAAACGCCGGCGAGTTCATACCCAAGTCCGGGTCCGGCAGAGACGCCCGTGAAGACGTATAACTGGCGGAGGGCTTGACCCGGACGTCCGCCGTACCCTGGTTTTGCCGTCGAGCCCGTAGTCTCCGGAAAACCCTATCTCTCGGCTCTGTAGATAGGGACGATTGAACAGAGATAGCACAGATTGAACGGTCTACAATTGATCCTACCGCGAAAAAAAAATATTAAAGGAAATATTTAAAAAGCTGTGGTTAAGTATTTAGAGTTTTGGTACCGCCAAAAATCTTGGGTGGGTATAGAAAATACGTGTATTCAGGACCGGCCTGACGCTAGTTTTATTTTGAGCGAGGTCCTACTATGGCACCCTATGGAAACCAGCCGTGCGTGCTAGTATGGAACTTGAAAAATTCCGACATCTCCATGAATCTTCGCATTGCACCTACTACCGTATATTAAGATGATGCCATTTACATATTAGCCATACGCTCGCAAGTTAAATATCGAAAAGCGAAGTAATATTTTTTTCGTTTACTTTTGTATACTACTTAAGTATAGACTTCCTCTTAGAACTGTTGTAGATTTTATTGTTCTTTTATAATAGGTAGGTATAGTATAGACATAATTGTGTATGTGACGTCAGTTTGACTATTCAGTTGGTTTTTTGTATTCTGTGGTTCAGTTGATTAATTTTTTACATTTCGAAGATGTCAGTGTTCTTTTTCTAGTTCAAATGTCTGTAGGTGGGAGGTAAAAGACCTTATGCAATTCAGATGTTTTTATAAACATTGCATTAGAATGCAAATAATCAACGCAATGGTAAAGCTCCTATCGTCGTTTATTTTTTTTCTACTTTAATTGACCTTTAAGATTGTTCACGTTACACCATGCCGGGGCCGGGCCGTGCTCCAGTCGTGGCGCAGTTAAAATATCTGTATTAGGATTTTATAATAATATGAACTAATTCATGTTAGAACCGACTGGTCGTGTTCCGGTCGGGGCACAGACCCGGCCCAGTCTTAACATGAATTAGTTCATACAAAGGCATAATTTGACAGTGTCGTGGCCGGCGCACGACCGGAGCACGACCCGGCCCCGGCACGGTGCAACGTGAATCATTCATTTTGAATGCCTAAGTATGAGCTTCATTCTACTTAAAACGCTCTGTAGTAAAAATTACTATTTGGCACTTAAGGTTCTTTCCTCTCAGCTACAGGTATGTTTCGCATATGACACCAAATACTGCCGTAACTAAAAATGGTCGGTGGTTAAAAAGTACTGAACCTTAAAATTTATATTATCGTCTATAAGTGGATTACTAAATGCATAAAAATAATCCTATTATTCCCAATAAGATCCATTCAGTATTGTTTTGAACTTTCAAACTTTTAACTGCCTCTGTGGCCTCTGTGGCCGAACAGTTACCTTGCTGGTCAGCCACGCAGGGGCCCCGGGTTCGATTCCTTGCTGGGAAAAATACTTGAATGGCCTACATTTATATTTCTCGTGAGTTTGGGTGTAGTTTGTGGTTGTCTATGTATGTGTCCATGGCACCCGCAACACAGGGTTTCCCTAGTGCGGGATGTGTTTAAAAAATCTTGTTTTCTCAATTCCACCATTTTTTAGTTATGACAGCATTAGGTTTCATGTGTGGTTATTATTACGCCCTGGTGTGTTGTTAGTTATTCATAATTATTATAATAAATCAGTCTTGTTTAATATTTTTAATATTATGGTGGTTGTAAGAAGCGGAAATTAGAGGCCAAATAATGTATAAAACTCGATGCTGAGTTTAAAAAACTACTACTTTCAATATATTTTACAGATTTTGTTGTGCACATTTGTAAAACCTTGACCAAGTGAGTTAATTTTGTTGATCTTGAGTCAATTCATCACACGACGAGCGGGTGCTTGGTGCCGTTTTTATTATCTTATAGGAATGATCACACTTATCAACTGTATCAACTGTGCATCGGTGGTCGGAGCGGAACGCGCAGTCTTTTTTCGCTCTTATCGCATGGACGTAAAATTTGTTTATTGACTTAATGCGATTCTGTGTAGTTAAGTGTGGTGACTCCCTAACGTGTAGATAGTCAATAATTTAATTCTAGACATTTCACCTCTTATTACAACATTACTGTCTTATCTGGGCAGAAGTAAATTGGCCCGACATGTCCGAAATATGGCGCCATGCCGTGGCGTTGTAAAGGCAGCTTCTCACGGCCTTTGATGTCATGGGCCGCGCTGCGCCATTTTGAACAAGCGAGCTCGCGTTAGGGCGCTTTCCCACTATGTCGTCACGTTTTATTATCGTTGGACGACTGTCGTGTCTAGCCTGTTTCCATATCACGACTATCTGTTGTCGACGATTTTTTATCGTTGAACGACTATCGTGACTAGCTGTTCCCACTAGATCGTGACGACAATTTATTGTTTCACGATAGCCTTCTTGCCCATCACTGACTACGACCCAACGCTACTGTAAAGCGAGCTGAGGGCGCGGGGTACGAGAGGGGAGTGCAGGGAGCAGAATACGTGCGGACAGCGATGAATAAAACGTGACGACAATAGGAGCTGCGACAATCTGTCGTCACGTTTTTATTGTGGCGTTTTTTTATCGTCTGACGACTGTCGTTCTAGCTGTTCCCACTGTGATGACAGTTTATCGTCGTAACGATAAAAAATCGTGAACGACAGTTAATCGTGTCGTGCTATATGTGAACAACTTCATTTAAATACACAAGCCACGACATTGTAAACTGCACGATAATCTGTCGTCACGACATAGTGGGAACTCGCCCTTACAGGCCCATGCATACGAGCTTGCGCCGGTAAGGGCGTCACTCGTCTCACGGCGCGTTGCCTTTGCAGACAAGGGCCATGGGAAGCCAGTATCAGAGGACGTCAAAGAAAGCGTTATTTCTTTTTATCATAAGAAAACATTAACAATTTAAAGCGGATAGCTATGATTTTGTTTATACACAAATTGGTATAAATATCTACACAACAAAAAATTATTACTGTTATGTTAAAATTTGTTATTTATGTTATAATTGATATAATTTGAATTTTAGTTATTCGTTAATATTTTAGAAGTAATAAATGTTGATTAAAGTCGTATTATATTATTTTATTTTCAACCTCAATTTAATTTCATCAAAGGGTTTCATACACATCTAATTAGGTGGGTTTGAGTACGTATAATTTTTTTTTAGAATATTATCAGTGTTTTAGTAAAATCATGTTTGATTATTTCCAGGAACCATCTCGCTGCAAGACATGAATGCGCAGCAATCAATATCAAACAGCAGTGGAACTTATGAGAACGAAGGAGTAAGTAATTGTACATATTGTTTTCTTTTTGGGATATTTTTATTCTCATTTTGAAAGGCGTCATAGTAAAAGTTGTTACGGAAAATGTAAATTACTTACCCACTTACCAGTACGGGCCTTTCATGAAAGTGCAGGGTACATTGTTGCAGTAAATAAATGTTTATTGATATATGTAGATGATGTTCAATTTTGTTGTAATATCGAAATTAGGAATGGATATAAAAAAATATTTACGTGGTAAATACATACAATATAAGTTACGGATATACGAATACGGCTACGTAATACTACGTAGTATTACGTAGCCGGAGCGTACGGACGTGTTTACAGATCATTGTGTGTTTTTAATATTTACTGTTTACATAAGTGTTCTAAGTGCACTAATTAAATGGGGCCAATATGCTCCGGATGTGGTGCAGTGAATAGGGATATTTCAGTGTTGCAGTGTGGTCAACAAACATGTAAAAAGACTTACCATCTCAATTGTATTGGTATGACACAAGCTGTATTTGAGAATCTTACACAGGAATTTAAATGTAATTGGGTATGCCCCGAGTGCAAGAGTAACATTCCAAAGGGAGATAACTCGAATACACCGGTGAGAAGCAGCGGAGTAATGGATAACACCCCAAGCACTAACGTAAACATGAATCGCGGTGCACGTTACAACTTAAACGATTCATCTATGGTTGATAATGACAACAAAGTGCTAGAGGAGTTGCGGGAGTTTCGATTAGAAATGCAGAATCGACTTAATGAACAAATGAAGGAATATACACTGCTCCAAAACAGATTCCATCGGTCAGAAATCGAGTTACAAGAATTACGTAAAATAATGGAGGTAGTTCAAGAAAAAGCAAATAAAGTAGAGGTGTTGGAATCAAGGATTGTGTTTCTGATAGAAAAGAACGAACACTTGGAAACTTGCCTTAAACTGGGAAATCACATTATGGAGAGTAAGGAAACAAAGCGCACACCTATGACGTCGCTCTTACAATATGCGAAGGTAGCGGCAAAAAATATTGCACCAAAAGATAATGCTCAAGGTGGGGCCACAAAACCAGCGACTATGAGTAAGACTAGTGATAGTATTGAATTACAAACAGTTATCGATGCGAATCCTTTAAGTTTTTTAGATAAGACTGGCAAAAAGGAAAATGAGCCAGAAAGAGAAGAAAATTGGACAACAGTTAATAGAAAGAAGACCAGATACCTTAGCAGTCAAGTGAAAAAGGGTGGAAATACGAACTATATTGACATTCAAGGGACTGAACGAAAGAAGTATTTACATATTTGGCGTTTAAAGAAGGACACAACAGTAGAAAATTTAGAAAAACATATTAAGAACGTAATATATGCGGTCAGGAAATACAAATTAAAGTAGATAAAATTAGACACAAGACAGAAAGGGATTATGCTTCCTTTATTATAGGAGTTCCGGAAAGTCAATATGACAAACTATGTCAAACTGAAAACTGGCCAATAAACATAGAGTTCTGTGAATGGGTGTGGTTTCGTAGATCAACCAAAACACCAAACAACAACAAAGAATAAGTTGATTGAGATCTACTATCAAAACGTAAGAGGGCTTAGAACTAAATTACAAAAGTTTTACGCAAGTATTGCATCGTCGGGTGAAGATTTGTTTGCCGTCACAGAAACGGGCTGCAATGAATCAATACAGGACGCCGAAATGATTCCGCCGGGCTACACAATTATACGATGCGATCGAACGGACGGCCGTAAACAGGGAGGCGCTTGTCTCGTGGCCACACCGCGAATACAAATGCGACGAGTAGCGTTACCTTGTGACATCAACATCGAGGAGCATGCGTTCGAACTGGTTTGTGCAACCATCGGCCTGCATGGTAGACTGATGTTTGTTTTGTGTGTAGTGTACATTGCACCCAAAAGCAAGGAAAGGGATTACATGGCGTTATTTAAGATAATTGAACAATATTGTAGTATGTATAGAAAAGTCATAGTTATAGGAGACTTTAATCTGTTTTCATGTCCGCCTTGTGTAAATAATTATTTTGAATATTTTAGTGCATACTGTGGGTTCACTCAAAGTAATAAAATAGGTAATTGTAACGATCGACAGTTGGATCTAGTGCTGAGTACGTATGGTGGGAGCGCGGGTGTGGACGTGCGCGCGGCTGACGAGCCGCTGGTGCCGGTGGACGTGTACCACCCGCCGTTGGTGGTGACCGCGACCCTCCCCCCCGCCGCCGCTTCCGCCGCCGGGTCCTGCCGCGCACCAATACTTACAAACGGAACTTCGTGTCGCACTAACACGCAGTTTGGCCTAGGCTGGAATTTTAGTAAGGCGAATTTCCCATTACTATACGCATTGACGGCGAACGTGGACTGGTCTCCGATGTATGCGTTGGGTTGGGAGGGTAGTTTGTCATTTTTCTATGATAGTATGAATTCTATAGTGGATAGATGCGCTCCGAAAAAGACACGCTACAAAGCTAATTGGAGGTACGTTTATCCTGAATGGTACACGGGCGAAATAATACGGGATTTAAAATTAAAATCGATACTTCATAAACGGTATAAGAGGAGTGGATCTAGGTCCGATTACGAAGAGTTCGCACGGTGTAGGGCGCGGGTTAAAAGCTCGATTCAAATAGCGGAAGAACAATATTGCCATCGTGTTCAAAGTAATTTATTAGAGAACCCAAAGTCTTTCTGGAACTATGCCAAATCCAAAAGAGGAAGTAGAACCACAACAAAGATTTTAAAGAACGGTGAATCGCTGACAGGTGAAGAGTGTGCTGAGGAGTTAGCAGATTATTTTCATTCGGTCTATAGTTCGGAACGACCGGAGTTAAATGTTGCCGCTGCGATAGCAGCAGCGGGGGGGCACAATGGAGCGGCGAGAGTTTATGTAGACCAGCTCAAACTAGATGACGTATGCACAGCGCTGCAACGACTCAAGCCAAAAAAGTCGGCGGGGCCTGACGGCTTTCCATCTTATTTTTTTAGAGACTGTCGAGCAGTGCTCGCGGCACCGCTTCTACATATTTATAATCAATGCCTTAAGGCATCGGTGTTTCCAGAAGCGTGGAAGATAACAAGGGTAGTACCAGTACCGAAGGGAGCTTTGGAAACCAGAGTGGAGGGGTACAGGCCTGTAGCAGTGCTGTCGACTCCGGCTAAAATATTAGAATCTGCTATTCACAAAAACATATTCGGGCAAGTTAGCATGTATCTATCAGACGAGCAGCACGGTTTTCGACCTGCAAGAAGCACTACCAGTAATCTTCTTAACTATACGTCGGGAATCTTGCCATCGGTGGATAGTGGAGTGCAAGTCGACGCAGCTTACTTCGACTTTAAAAAAGCATTCGACTTAGTCGATACAGATATTTTGCTTATGAAGTTGGCGGGAGTAGGATTCACTCCACATCTGCTGCAATTCTTTGCCAGCTATATGCGGGATCGGCAGCAATACGTGGAATACGGTGGTCATACGTCCGAACCATATTTCACCAGGTCAGGCGTAAGTCAGGGCAGCAATCTAGGGCCATTGGAGTTTATATTAATGGTTAACGATCTGCCGAGAGTCGTACGGGAGGCGAAATGTCTGCTATTTGCTGACGATCTTAAGCTGTACTTACCCACACGAAGCTCGGAAGACTGTGCCAAATTACAGGAGGATATTGACAGAGTGGTGAATTGGAGTAAGGAAAACCGGTTACAATTTAACACATCGAAATGTGCTATAATCACTTTTTCTCGAGCACATTCACCTATCCAGAATGATTATAAAATTGATAGGATTCCTATGGCTAGATTGACCGAAGTCAAAGACTTGGGGATCATATTAAAAACGGATCTATGCTTTCGTGATTACATCGTTACAGTATGTAAAAAGGCATATAGGAACCTAGGCTTTATTCTTCGTAGAGTTAATGGCTTTACAAATATGAAAGCGATAATTGCGCTTTATAACGCACTGGTTAGAAGTCATCTGGAGTATAATGCTGTAATATGGGGTCCACATGAAGCAAAATATGCGGTCATGATGGAAAGGGTACAAAATAAGTTCACAAGGTACCTGTACATGAGGCAGTACGGCGTTTACCCGTATTACCCATTAATGTACCCAACCCTGTTCGTTTTGGGAATGATCGGCTATAATACGCTCACTGCCAGGCGCGATCTCGCATTGGTGTCGTACATTTTTAAAATCTTCAGAGGAAAGATACACAATGCAGAGCTTTTGGAGCAAATCGGCATTTATGTTCCGGACGGGTACGTGGGGCGTCGGCGACGGCCGCAGCTGCTGGTAGTGCCGCGCGGGAGGACTAATCTGGTGGATGAGGCACCGTGGACGCGCGCACTCCGCACTCTCAACTCGGTGGCTGGTCAAATTGACTTATTTACATGTACTTTGAGTGAACTCACAAGGGCGGCTTTATTTGTAATATGTTATATAAATTAATTAATATAGTAGGTTTGTTAAGTTATATATCAAGTTACTTATCTATCGCATTAGGTGATAACCTGTAAGGATAGTTTAAGTCTGGAAAAATAAATAAATAAATAAATAAATAAATAAAGTTAACTGCATAGTATTAAAAACTGACTAAATTACAATTCTGTGTCGGATTCGTTGTCACTATCCTCGTCAAAATGAGAATTATTTAACTCTTCATTTTGGAGATCTAAAGTATGCTTAACACATATTTGTCAGTCTGAATACATTTTGCTTCGTGCAGTAACTTTTTCACGTTAGCTATTTCTATAGTGCTGTTTCTGGTTGCGATTTCAACTTTAACTTGAGCTCACGCCAGCTCCATCGGATTATCCTGGCAATGGTACGAAAGTAAAAGAACCACCTCGTGTCCACACTCCTCGAGACAAATGCCTACATAATATTAAACTATTTTCAATTCCCATCTTACAGTATTTGGTTGCTCCAGTGAAGGCGGAACCAATGAGTGAGGATGAGCAAGACCTTCCGATGGAGTGTTTACTTTGCGCGAAACAATTTATGAGCATCTCTGGATTAAAGGTAATGGACCAAGAATCTATAACAACACAAGACTGATCATGCACCATATGAATGAAAAAAAAAAAGAAATAGGCGCCGAACGTCAACAACTGCCTCCGTGGCCGAACGGTTGCCTTGCTGGTTACCGGCGGACGGCAAGGCAGAGAACATTAAATTTGTCAATGTATATTTTATACTATTCCATTTCAAATGAGTTATACATTGAAATGCTTAGAGAGCGATCTCGGAGTATCGCGGGTTATTTCTTTCTGGGCCTCAAAGCATTTGCGTTGGCTCTAAATGTAGATTCTTTATAGTTGTCTTAAAAAGTTCTAAAAGTTAATATCGAGTTCTTAGGTTTTTGCGATTGTTACACGTAGGAAATTAAACTATTTTTTCGGGTTTAAGTCGTGTGTATTTGTTTTTTCAAACAAACTAACGTTTCGGGCCCTTTGCAGGCCCTATGGTCACGGTTGACAATTGGCAATTATGAATGAAAAATCATATCTGATAAATGTCCACCACGACCAGTTACAGATGTCGATTCTTTCATCAAAGTTTTTAATAATTTTTTAACAAAATGGTGGGTCAATCACTTCACGAATTTTGAGTTTTAAGGCTGCAATCGATTCGATTGGCTCTATAGGCTCTGTCTTTAATATAACTCTATAAAACATAATCCAGCGGCGTTAAATCACACGATCGAGCTGGCCACTTTACGGCTGCATTTCATGAAATTATGCGATTGAGAAACTTGGTTTGTATCATCTCTAAATAGCGTAATCCATAATCGCCAAACCTTCCTTTTTTTCATACAATAAAAATATGAATCATTGTCATCTAAATTTATTATTTTATTTTGATTTACAAAACTAATATTATTTTATAAATTATTATTTATCATTTTTATTAATTTAATTATTATTATTATCGTGAAGGTTAATTTCTTTGTTCGCCGTATAAATACGTGTATAAAAGAAAATTATAATATTGCTCCAGGCACACGTAATAGCACAACACAATTATAAAACAGTACGAAGAAAGATGAATAATAGCGCATCGCCGGAGAAGAAAAAGACTGCCAAAATTTCTTGCACGACTTGTGGTCGAAGTGAGTAGTTCTTCAATATTTTTTAAGCAGTTTTTAATTGGTTTTGGCAATTATCTGATATACAAGATATGTTACGTTCATAGTAAACGACACTACGATACGATTTATATACGATATTATACGGATGACATACCTATATTGTAACGAAATGTTTGAGATAACACTATGTTGGTTGTCATGTGCGATATGATGTTAATTATATGAAATAAATAATAAAAATATGTTTTTTTTATAATATCAAGTGGCGGGACCATAGATGACGGGACGAACAAGTCGTGCGCCTGATGGTAAGCGACACGCCTATCCATAACAATTGCAGTGCCACTCAGAGCTTTAAATCGCAAAGGTCGTATGGGCACTGCTATTGCGTCCGTCACCCTGAGACATAAGTTCACAAGTCCCATGTTCTTGTAATTTTACCAGCACCCTTACCCTTTCAAACCGGAACGCAGCAATGCTCACATTACTATTTGGCGGCAGAAATAGGTAAGGTGGTTGTACTTCCCTGGACGAACTCTTTCACAAGGACTGCTGCTAGCAATTATACATATACGCACGGAAGTAGATTTGGAGCTGGCCAGATGTAGTTTTGTTGTTTTTTGAACTGCAATCTATAGTACATTTCTACGTCGTAATAAGTTTTGTTATAATGTTACATAGTAAATATTGATATGATATCATCGACATATGACGTGGTATCATCTTGGGTAACGAATTGTTCTGGGGGCACTAACCAGTTTGTATTGATATAGGCGCTCGTATTTAACGATTCAACATGAGCGACTGCATCAATACAACCGTCTAAAGGTGGTTTTCCACCGGCAAGGTGAGAATAGGAGAGACGAGAATTGAAATCTCTCCTGCCTATTTTCACCAAAAATTCACTAATAGCTCGCGCTGTGGTTATGGATAGTGCAGATTCAGTGCTTTTCAGTTCATCTAGTGATAAATACGCGGCTGAAGTAACATGTGCCGTAAATTATTATTATTAAATATGTTAAAAGAAGAATCAGATGAGACCACCTTTTTTTAAATATCAAATAGTGCGTATCCCACAATTTGCGATTTATATTGATAGCCATCGCGAGCTCACGCGAGACCGTGCGAGCTCCCGCGAGAACTCGTGTTTCCGTTGTAGAGTATTAATACTACGTACGGTTCAATATTACATCAACAAATATTTCAATTTTCGCTTCGCCCATCCTCGTGAATCCAGACCATTTCCACCGAAGATGGGCTAGGAGAGAATTGAAATATTGTCATACAAATTTAAATACTCTTCTCGTCTCACCGGTGGAAAACCACCTTCATAATCGCTAGTGTAGTGATGCAATCGCGCGCGATGTAACCGTTCTAATGTTCATTTCTCGCTCACAGATTTCGTAACACTCACGGACCTCATGGTGCACGAAACGTGCCATAACAAATCCGTATGCTACGCCTGTGGGGGAAAATTCGATTCGTATGGGCTTCTTATGAAACATCACAGGAGATGGTGCAAGAAGTTAAAGAATTGTTCAGGCAAGCCCAAACTTCCGGAGAACGTTACGAAGTAAGATTTTATTTGTGTAGAATAAATAGCCTTTCTCATTTTTTAACCGTCATCAAAAAGGAGGATGTTGTTAATCCGACTGTTATGTATGTTATATTTTTTTGTGTCTATGTTACGTGATTACTTCGACATTTTGTGAACAGATTTTTGTTGGAAAGGGGTACCTCGGTAGTGGTCCCATTCAAATTTGAAGAAAATATTCCACCTCTAAGGAAGGCGAATGTGGGGATGAATCAGGTTTAATGGATTTTCTCCCACTTCCGTTAGCCGATTTCAATAAAACTTGGCAAATAGACGTAATTCCATAAACTTTTTAGGTGATGTATTTTTTTTTTATAAAAAAAGCTATAATTATCTTTTTTTACAGTTCTGCACATAAGTAAAATTTTTCAACTGAATATTTTTGCCATATGGTGACACTTAACATGCTGGACCTTTGATCTCGATCATCTCCGCTTTGATCCGCTGATCGAATTTTTAAATTTGTGCTTCACCACGACCTGTAGAATTTTATTTTTATGCCAGTTTCAAATTTCATGCATATCGGTTGATAAACAGCCATTATTACTTGCGTATATTGGGCAATTTGAGTTCATGCCAAGAAAGTTTCCCTAGCTGCGCTATGATTCTAAACATCGTGTCAATTACTTAGTATCAATGCCTTTTAAAATCACTTACGAAGGTTTCTTGTTATTTCCATTCGAAATTGTATTAATCGATATTTTGAAATAACATTCTGAATTTAGTTCGTTATTTCCCCTATTCTCGTTGCAAATTGTTAAGGGGTTTAGAGAGAACGATGCAATTTGACAAGAATGAGAAGTGCAAAAGTTAATTCCCAGGTTATGTTGCGAAATAAATATTTTCTATATCACTACCAAATATTTACGTGTTCTTGTATTTTTTTTAGACCTGTGCCTCACCCGCCCTTGCCGACAACCGTTAAAACTCAAAACGAATCACCAGTAACTTTAAAATGTTTAAATTGCAACGAAGAGTTCAGCGATTTATATTGTTTGAAAGTACATAGTGAAATTCACAATCTAGATAATAAAGTCAACAATAAAAATAATCAATTACAAAATACTGAACAATTGAACAGTGGTGATGTGAATATTTTGGAATGTGGTGAAAATAGTGAACAGACCACAGAACTTGACGTAGTTGAACAGACTAATGACGTTCAATCTAGGGAAATAGAGATCAAGTTAGAAATAACGAATGTAGTTACACTTAAAGATCAATTGGACTGTCTGCTGGATAATTCTAAAAACAATTATAATGAACAAATTAAAGAAGAGGCAAACAATGATTTGAATATTCATAACCAATTAGAAAGTTTTGAATCAGGGAAAACACCAGAAATTCTAGAAAATTGTGAAAAAGATAACACAGTCAATAATAATGAACAGTTAATAAATGATAGTGACTTGATAGGGCTACAATGTTTAAAAAGCTTTGACGTTGATGAAGAAATTAAAACAAGAGTTGATCAGGATGAAAATAGAGTGGTTGTATTTGAAAATAATGAACATTTTAAAGTTGAAGTTTCCAAAACAAGCGAAGACGACCTAATGGTCAATAATAAGAATAAAGATGATAATGATTTAGCAAAAATAATGTTATTGGAGACTGATGCTTAATTTTGCATTGCATCAGCTCAATTTTGTTTAAAACTTTATTGGAACTTTATTTAGTTCGCCAATCCGACTGAAATCAGATTATTCCATGAACAACGTTACATCTGTTACGGTTCTCGCGATTTTTTTTAGAATGTACTAAGAAATATTAAATTAAAAAACGTAGGAAGGCGTAAACGTAGTGTATGATTGAACTACAAATTTTTGTTGCTGGAATTTGAAGTTCAATCGTAATCATCATAATGGGTGTTACGTATTTTCAGTGGCATATCTTAGGCTGAAGATGTTGCAGTGTAAAATAGTTAACTGGTTTTATTTTAATGGTTTTTAAAATACATACATATTTACATTAATTTAATTAGTTTTACGTAGGAATGGTTTGACATTTTTAACGAAGTTTGTGCGGCTGTTATAATTTACTCTAAATCGTCGCTTTAGAGAGAAAACTTCGCATACGCGTTTTCACATACTTCGGTTTTACTGATTTTTATTCAAAAGAAACTTCTTGCTCAAATATATTTTTGAAGTACCATAATGTCTGAAAGTAAGTGTATAATTTAAATAATTAAAATGCTAACTACTAACATTATTGCTTTTACTACATTTTACACACACCACACCACACACCACATTTTCGTTCCGAAATATGACATAGAAATCATATACGAGGTTTTGCACTCTAAGACGACGAACTATCAGTGCGAAAAAGCGTGGCGTGTAAAGTCTATATTTTGTCGATGCTCAAAGAAGTCAAGTTTTATTTAAGTCACCTTATTATACACGAAATCAGAGCTCTTGTCTTGTCAATGGAGAGATGTAAAGCCAAAATAACAATTCTCATAATAATAATTGGTTATTTCAACCAATTACTCTCCGTTTCATTGGATAACGGACTAAGGGTTGAAATACACTTGTCGACAGCGGTCAACGGTTTGGCAGCAAGATTACTTTCGTAAAGGATGCTGTTACTAATGACACTCATCCAGTATTAACCATGGTTTTGTTAACAGACTTCAACAAAAGAAGGAAGTTCTTAATTCGATTGTATTTTTTGTGAGTGAACATTACGCGATTATTCCGACACTTGGGAACCGATTTTGACGATTCTTTTTTTGTTGGAATGGGGGTACCTCGGTAGTGATCCTATTCAAATTAGAAATTTCTGCCTCTAATTGTGGCAAATTAGAGGATGAATCTTCTTAGAGTTTATTGAATTTCATCCAATTTCCGTTAACCGATTCCAATAAAACTTGGCATATAGCCACATAAATGTAATTCCAATGAAAATAAAACGTTATGCTAGCCTTAGAGCGCATCCGTTGATGGAAATGGCAGTCATATAAGAGGAACTCCTCCACATTTTACAACATTTATCTTTTGTTTAGGCTGATATGATTCTTTTTGACGAGGACTTCCATAAATGCGTTTCAATCATCGTTAAAGAGGGCGCGGTAACGAACACAATTTTGAGGTCTTTTTTTTAAATAAAGATGTAAATTATGTACACAAATCGTCGATAAGAGTGTCGAAACCCTAAATTATATGCTGTATCTAATTGCGTACGCTAGTTTGTACTTTGTCACTTCAAGGTTATAATGGATATGGAATAAAAAAATTGCAATATCCTAATATGTGAATTCTAACACTTGCGCTTGTAAATAAACTGCGGCTACTTTTATTTGTAAATAAGTTGTGAACGTTTTAAATGTATTAATAAACTTGGTAATTATGATGTTAGTGGATAAAAATATACGGTTGCGTATGGCAACGAGAATTTTATTTGTATTTTTTTACTGTCGTAGTCTTAGAGGATGGAAAAAAAGTAAAGAAGTATTTATTATATATAAAGTATTATTTAATATGGAATGTAGGTAGTCGGTTTTTTTACTAGTAATTTTATTCAAATCTTGATCATGAGCTAAAATTATTTTCTGAACTTTGACAAATATGCGTGTCAATAGATGGCAGTTTGTTACAAACTAATAACTCTTCCTATTATGCCATATCTTGTTGATTTGTTTGTTTTGTTATCACTGGAAATTAGTAGGTGGCTTTGATAAATTGCAGCTTTTCAATGTCAAACAAATTACAAAAATACATATTTTGGTACTCGTCGCCACATCTGGTGTACCGATAGGTACTAAATACCCGACTACGCTGATACAAGTATTGCGATTAGCAGTCCTTTTGAGTTATTGCTCCATGCTCAGGGTATGTCCATGTTACCATTTCTACTAGAGTACTAACACGAAAAACTATCGTGGTCTCACTGTAATAAGAGACGCGGCCTCGAGTTACAGCTCGCGGTAAACGAAAATACACTCGTTCGTTTCACTAAAAATACCTTTTGTCAGTTAAACAATTTATAGGGAAGTCAGAGAGGTACGATATTTTATCATATTATTTGCATACATAATATATATACTTCGATTAAAGTATGACGCGTTCTTGCGACTCTTTGTATTTGGTTAAGCAAGAGTGAAAGTTCCAATAAGTGCTTTAGATAAAATTTGGACCTTTTATAATAATAATAATAACGCACACACTCAACATAGCCCCGCACTAGGGAAAACCCTGAGTCGCGGGTGCCATGGACACATAGACAACCACATATTACACCCAAACTCACGAGAAAAATGAATATAGGCCATACAAATATTTCTCCCAGCCCGGGAATCGAACCTGGGATCTCTGTGTGGCAGTCCGGCATGGTAACCGTTCAGCCACGGAGGCAGTTGAGTTTACCTATTCCACCAGTTTGATTTATACTAGGCATAAAAGTATTAGACAATAAAGTCTGTTTATAATGCCGAGTGTGATTAGGCCCGTGTTCTGCATTCCAAGACAAAGGGTAAGCCGTGCGTACGACATGCTAATTGAAATTTCAAGACGACCGCTAGTGTAGGTTGTATGGACACCGCTGCTGGTTTGTTTGATCATGCATCGAATATGAAGCCAAATACTGTCGCAACCTCAAATTGTGGAATTGAGAAAACACGATTTGATATTTCAAAAAGTGACTGAATGAAAATAAATTTATATTCTTGTTTATAAGTGGATAACTAAATATTATGTAGACCACACTTTCTGGTGACCGTCAGGATGGCTGGTCGCCTGTCGCATCTGGCACTGAGTGTATATTCAAGAATTGCTACCTTTTCTAAATAATTGCTACCTTTGATAGGTATATTCTGAGAAATAAAAAAAAAATTGACCAGCCATTCTAACGTCAGGATGGCTAGTCGCCACTTTGTTCGGCATGAAGGGACCAATAATTGCTATCTTCACGAATTAAAGGTATACGCTTTTTATCTACATTACTTAAAAAAATATAATCGATTGAAAATTTTACGAAGAAGTGCCTGATTAAATAAAAAAAAGCAAAGTTTTTAGTGCTTTATTGCCATAAGACAAAGGGCAGGCGTTATATATCAAAGGTAGCAATTATATAAAAAAGGCAGCAATTCTCGAATATACACTCAGTGCCAGATGCGACAGGCGTCCAGCCATCTTGACGGTCATTAGTTTCTCAAGACAAAAGTCTTCGACCTGTGTGTGTCGCCAGTGACGACTTACGCACTGAGACGTGGTCGCTCATTATGGGCCTCAGGTCACTCAAAGGGCAATAGAAAGGGCTATGCTCGGAGCTTCGTTGCAAGATCGAATCAGTAATGAGTATATCCGCAAGGGAACCAGAGTTACCGACATAGCCCAAAGAGTTAAGCCTCAACTTAAGTGGCAGTGGGCACATTACTCGCAGAATAGACGGCCGATGGTGCCGAAGAATTCTCGAGAAGATAAAGTCTTTTTAGAAGATAACCGGACCTTTTAACAATTAAAATTTTATTATTTTTTATAGAAGCTTCCTAAAATAGTTAAAAAAAGGATGTTTGGGTAGTAAACAAGTAAATTATATACTGCTAGAACCATGAAAAACGTAAAGTAGTCAGCCAACCTGACGTCAGTATCTCTGGCCATTTTATTTCTTTAATATTTCCGCCAGCGCAAAGGTAAAAAATATGTCAATAAAGGTACTAAATAGTAGAAAATAGGTTACTACCTATTTAATAATGAGCACAGTTTGGTTTGTATATCTCGGTTGGTCCAACCATCCTGACCGACACATTTTTAGTCTCGTCCTGCAGGATCGAACGAATTTTCCTTAGTGTTTTGATCTTTGTTATTATTAAAACTTAATATTAATTCTTTATTTAATTCAGCCATTAAATAAAAGATTGTTTCTCTCGTTTTTTATTTATTTTTTACAATCAACAATAAGTGCTAAATACGTTTTGTGCAGCAACAAAAACGAGTCACAATTTATATTAATATAACTTCTGTACAAATCATTTATTTACAATCGTTAACTCAAAAACGTTTAATTGAAAGGGATATAAGGAATAACCTAGTCTGTTTTATCGAAATTAGTCGTGAATAGAAGCTGTCACAGCCAAGGATTTATTACTGCCAAAGATGTACTTACTAGATATTATGAATTTATTACAATAAGGAAAATGTTGATTGAAATGTGTTTTTAAACTATGAAAATCTCAAGGAAGGAAGAAGTTGATACTAGAAAAGAGAAATGCGACTTTCAAACAAGGTTAACTGACAGAACAATGTTGTTTCTTGTTTTGAAAATTTTGATCGATTTATAATAATACAGTTAATATGTCGTGTATTGTATTGTCTTGTATGGGCCATTAATTATAGCACACATTCTGTTGCATTGTTTAACAGTTCATAAAGGTACGTCTTATATTGTTTAACAGTTCATACAGGTACCTTGGTATATTTAACTAAAGCAGTGTTTGTTGCTTCAGATAATGCATAAGAAATAGAAATCAAGTAAGCTGACTCTGAATTTACACAAGCTTTTTCACAAATGTAGTGCTGCTAAGCTAAGTAAGTAGTATGAAATACCACAACCTTTTTGAAGTGTTTAAAATTACGTTTAGAAACTGATTTTGGACAAAAATAAGTTTAAAAACTCCACGGAATGCTGCGCTATTAAATTAAGTAAATAAAAAATACTGTTCAGTTTCTATTCAACTCGTTCAAAATGCGCAAGATGTAGAGGAACAAGTTGAGGATGTCCATGTAGAGATTGATGGTAGCTAGAATGTATTCTTCGGGTGAAAGTACGGTCATCATTTGTTGAGTGTCGAAGATGAGGAATAGTCCGAAGAGGAACGCACCAACGAAGGAAAGGGCTATTTCGAACGCGGAGCTTTGGATGAAGATCTGCATAAAGCCGCCGATGATAAGAACTGTAAGTCCGGCTATCAAACTGGAAGTAGAAATAGTTACATTAGGCATGGTTCACGTTTAATTAGGTTCATTGGAAATCGAGCACATTTCTTTGTGCTGGTATTATATTTTTGGAAGTATTGCTATAATAAAATAAAACGAAAACTTGACACGAGTGAAAATTTAGGCTTGCTTTTAAATGATTTCAAAAAAGTAGGAGCTTCACAATTTGGCTTTTTTTTTTCGTATATATGTATGCGATAACTCGGCATTTGTGAATCGATTTTGATGATTATTTTCTTGTTGGGAAGAGGGTACCACAGCAGTGATCCCATTTAAATTTGAGGATAATATTCCACCTCTAAAGCTGGCAAGCTAGGGGTATTCATCCCCTAGCTTGTCAGCAGCTTTTGAGGTCGGTTTTTTTAGTACTCTGTACTGAGATTATGATCATTCTTTTTTTGTTGGCAAAAGAGTACCTCAGCATTGGTCCCATTTAAATTTGAAGTAAATATTCCACCTATAAGGGTGGCTTCTCGTACTTTCCGGTAACCGATTTCAATGAAACTTAACAAATAGATGCATTGACTTACAATTATATGGACGTCGGGTCCGCGCTAAAAAGTGTCCGAACTTATAGGGCGTTAAAACCGTATACAGAGCGTCATTCACGCTTTAGTCTTCGTTTGTTCGACTGACAGCGAAGCAAGCAAAATTAGACAGTACTGCGATGACATTACAATTTAAATTCAACGTTTTAGCTTTTTCATATTCCTTTACACGTCACTACGTTTAAATAGGTTGACTTGGGACATTTTTTCGTGGTTTTTGTATTAGACCCGTCGTCCATTTATTTGTAAGTCAATGAATAGATGTAATTCCATGAACTTTTGAGATCGATTTTTTTAAAGTTATTTGTAGAATTTTTAGAAAAATTAAGTGTTCTTTTCGACAATTTTAAGTATACAGTTGTGTCAAAGACATCAAAACATTCAACGGTTACCAGTTTTTTTCGTGCTGTCATCATAAGAATCAAATGTATGAAAATGGCATTTGTTTTTCTCATAACTTTTTCTTAGTCGTTTTTGATGTTGCACGGTAAGGCTGAGGTACCTTTTGGGTGTTATTAACGGTCTGTGACAAATCCGAACCCGGGACCTCTGCGTGGCAGACAAGCATAGTAAGTAACCTTTCAGCTACTGAGGCATTAAATAAGGTAAAAATTTGCATTTTGAAATAATTTTATACCTTTTGAGCGATATCGATATTGTTCGGAGTCATTTTTAAAGTTATGAATTGATAATAATACGAAAAAAAAACTAGTGACCAGTAGATTACCCAATGTATTAATGTCTTAGACAGAACGGTATAATACTTGAAAACTGTTAAAAATAACATTTCGTTTTTAGAAAATGCTATGAAAGGCAAGCTTTTTTTTTGATTCACAGTGCGTTGAAGACGTAGTTTCTCTCTCAACATTAACTGCGAGCGCAGTACGCTCTACACTTCACTACATAATAAGCAGTAGGCAAACATTGTAATTGGCAGCTGAATAATTGTTTACTTTTACTATCTACTGTCTTAGTTGTGACTGTACTGTAAAGCGTATCAACTAAAATCTGCTTATAAACTTTTACGTTGTTTGGCAGAACCATATCTCTATTTGTATTTTTTTTTTATTGGTTTTACGGCATCAGAATTAATCCATAAAGCTCAATTCTCGACAGTCTTTTCGTATGTCGTGTCATTGTACAAAACTTGTATATTTATAGTAGTTGTGATCAATGATCATATTAATTTATCTGTTAATTGATATTGCTCAAGAGCCACTTTTTATGTAGTTTAAGTTTCTTCAATTAGTTTGCAGAACATTTTCAGTTCTAGATAGGTAGTTACATTATAAAAATTTTGGTACAAATCACTAACAATTGTGTCATAGCTGTTGCTAGTCTATTGTCAGTCTTCTGGTAGCTGTAGCGGTATCTGTCTGAGTGAAGAAACATTAATAACTTCTTGGCACATAGAGAAATCCGTAAGATCTGCTAGCTCGATCCGATCAGTTGGCAAAGCAGTAGCCACGTTATGGCAACAGTCGCTGGTTCATGCTGTCAGATCGAAGGAATTATTCTTTGTGCTTGTTCGATCTTTGTGTCAATAATAAATAACTGTTGCGATTTGACTTCGAATAATCTACTTTTTTTTTATTATTAGAACACTATCATTCTCACCCATATCCAATGAAAGAGAAGTCCCGTTTAGTGTTGAGTGTGTAAATGGTGAGACCAGTGACAGTGGCAAATGTGAGCCCAAGTGCTTGTAGCACTACTGAAGTGTTGTAGTATGACACAACCACACCAATGGTGAAGGCTTGGACAGCAGTCTGAAAAGTAAAATAGATAATAGCTTAAAATAACTTTTCAACTGATGCTATTGTCAACTTTTATATTTTTAGCTGATTAAAATGACAAAATTCTTTTATGTTAGTTACAATCTGTTGGATGTATAATTTCCAATTAATGATTTGCCGTTATTGCCTGTTTTGGCACTTTATTAGTAATCACGACTAAATTCAAGACGTTGCTGTCTATTGGATTAGCCTTAAGTAGCCTTTACGACATTCTTGGGTAGTGTTAACTTGAAAAAAGAAAAGCCAAATGTTTTTTTCACATTTTTGCTAAAACAAAAACATGAAAAAAAGGACACATCACACTTGTTTTTTTCTAAAATTAAATTTCAAATTTAATTATCACTTAACACTCGATAACGATGAAAAGTTCGTAGCACGTACCCAATATAATCAAATTATAAACTAAACAATGATTGGGTAATTTCCCATCCATAGGTATAAAAGTCAGTGATTCAGTCAGTGTTGCCCATTTATTTTGAACAATTTTTGTACGAAGAATAGTATTAATTAACAAAAGAAATAGTGTAGTGCTAAATTAAATCTAAAAAAACGTAATATATTCGTCATATATTTACTTGCAGAAAAAAAAATACTAAAAAAACGTATACCACAGTATTCTTGGGAAAACATTCATGGCACACACTTGTCACATCAATATGAACAAATGTACACACGTCAGCACATCAAGCTACACATTGATGTTTCTTGTTCCATTGCACTAGAGGCGATTTTCGAACAAAAATGTGTAGTTTGATGTGCCGTTGTCCGTACTTATCTAAAACTTACTTGCCGTAATAGGTCTGAGTGTATCGCAATCGGTTCGATATGAATATGAAATAAGTGTGGCAAATCACGCTTTAGTTTTTAACATACCATATGGTGCACCACCACACATAAATCCAACCTGTATGACAATTGCAGACAACTACAATGATGAAATTTCTACCTACTACTACTCAAGGAAAGGTAAAGGAAAATGGAATGTATATACTGTTTACTTACAAAGGCCGCCAAAAGGAAAAGATTGGCGGGGTGGTCTCGTCGTTTAGCGATCAGTGCGAATAGTGTCACCATGCTTAAGATGAATGCTATGAACACGGTCCAGTCACTGGAAATACAAAAATTAAGATAAGTTTGATTCATTAAAACTAAGAGTATTTGCTTCTATTATTACATTTGGTAGCTGTATCCGAGGTTGTTATTGTGCACATTAAGAAGCACCATGACATGTGAATTAAATTCTTTATTTATGTTTCAAATACTTACTTTCGATGTATAAAACCCTGTACTGGCTCAACGAGAAGGAACACAGAGGCAATAGCAACAGTGGTCAACAGCTGTATGGATAACAGTCCATAGACTTTCCGGATGAAGGCCAGTCGGATCTCTTTATCAGCATTTACCACATTGTTTCTGTATGCAAAGTCATCCTGGAAAAATGTAAAATAATGTATATTGCTTGAATGGTTACCACATGTTTGATAAAAAATATAAATTGAAGAAGGCTTACAAAACTTCACAAGGTTGTGTGAAATCTCCAACCCATATTTAGCCAGTTTTGGACATATTAGTTGGGTTGATGATGACTGCTCCTCTAGTGATAGCTTACAGTCAACATAATCAAAATAGCATTGCATAGTTGTATTGTACTGTTGTATTTGTATGTAATGTGTGTAATGTTGTATTGGTGTTACGGAATGTATTAAGGTATATTTAAAGTATATTTTTCTTTCTTGGTCATGTACAAGAGCCTTTATATGTATATAAATACGTCATTTGCTTATTGCAACTATCAACAATTTATTTCAGAAAATGATAAGTTTTCCCATGCATTTACTGTACTCGTATTGCCTATTTTGCATGTAGTGAATTTTGTTCTTATGATTTCAAATAATCGACTCATCCAAAGAACAAAGTCCGACGTGATTATACAGCGAAAAGAGAATAAGTATGTTAAGAGAATAATTTCATTATTCAAACTAAGGCCTATGTAAAGGTGTTTTGAGAATTTATATATCTTGTTTCGTTTCGGAAATTATAAAATCGAACAACAGTCGATCTGACATCCACAGCGACGAAGAACGAACGAAATGTACTATGTCCTGAGAACAAGTAGTCTTGCACATAGACCTTTGTTCTACGGATGAGTCGATATCTAAATTGTAATAACTCTATTTGGAACATTGTCATGACTAACTAATGACAGCCACTTAACCAACTCACTTGACTGTTAGCCTGGCAATTAGTGTGAAATCTCAAATTGAGTAAATTACACACTAAATGGATTTCAGAAATTGAAATCTTTCTCTATGAATGCCTTTAAGATGCCCATGACATTTCAGAAATAGACAATATGAGTTTATCATTCCACAATGCATTGCACTATTGTAGCAATAAGAATTGAATGGTTTATTATTTTTGAATTTTGATGTGTATAGAGTATGCTAACATATGCTATGATAATAAATAATAAATAAATAATAAATAACGCACACACTCAACATAGCCTCGCACTAGAAAACCCTGTGTCGCGGGTGCCATGGACACACACATAGACAACCACAAATTACACCCAAACTCACGAGAGAAATAATTGTAGGCCATACAACTATTTCTCTCGGCCCGGGCATCGAACCTGGGACCTCTGCGTGGCAGTCCGGCATGGTAACCATTCGGCCACTGAGGCAGTTTTGTTATGATGCAAATCTAGTATATATACCTATAGGCACAATGACATATTCTCATGTGTGTGGTGATGGTAGTAATAAATTATACATAAATAATCAATAAATTATGCAAAAAAAAATTAGGACAATGTTTCCACTGGACACTAGTATTGGCAAATTACTGTAGCTTGTTTTATCAATGAGACATGAGAATTATTTTCTCATCTCATAAAAAGTAATCTTGTTGGGTTCTGTTCCTCATTTCAGGGATTTTTGCAAAAAATTTAAATATATTAAAAATGACATGTCAGACAACTGCACCAATTTTTTTATTAGGAAATGAACCTGTACTTGGAAATTACTTGTAACTTCAACAATGGAAGTCTTATGTAATCTGGGGCATTATCCAGAACACCCAGACCAGATGAATTTAAAAAAGTTTTTTTATTCAAATTGATCTTTTTCAGAATGGAATTCTCACTCAGCACCCACAGTGTAAACGCTGGGCTACAAAGGTCTTCAAGTATCCAATTACAATTGTTAACTGTGCATATAGACATATAGTCATATAGGAATGCATTTATAATGCTGTATAAACATGTTGATAATGTTCATTCAGCAGGGCCATCCAATTTAAAAATGAATTCCTGTTGGGGTAATGCGAAACGAGTTTCAGAGATCCATTATTCTGTTCCTTATACTACTTATTCTAGTTTAATACCTGCTAATTTGTGTGGTAGTTTGGCACGTTGTTTATATATTATTGTTATTATATTAAAAAGTAAATAATGATTTTATCAAAGCAAAAGGACGATTTAACAGAAATTTGCTAATCTGAAATATAAAATGTCATTGTATACTTTATGCAAATATGTCATGTGAGCACATAAATATCTAATAAGCACAAATTGTCTGTTCTTTAATATTTGTAAAACGTTATCTACAAGTGAAATGGTAATGTGACATCACAACTTAGGTATCTAATTGCAATATGGTTCCTACAATCTGATAAACAGTACAATTATATATACACTCTAGCCTTTTATATTGTAACGAAACTATCCAGAAATCTTAATCTACTACGGCGAGCATGGACGGTAAAACAAAACCATGAAAAGTATTGCACATTAGCTCAAGGTCGAACCATAACAGTTTATGGAATTCAGTACTTTCGATTCATATGATAATTTAGAAGAAATAAAATCGACTTAAAGTCTATTCTTACCTCTATAGATTCCTTTCCACCGAGTTCGCAGTCTTCCTGAGCGTACATTAATGGTATAGCAGCCATTTTTTTGGGTTTCTTAGCACGATTTTGAGCTTCTTTCACTGCACAATTTATGGAAGTAAACAAATTTAATCTACTTTTCCTGTGCAATCGCTACGTTTCTCACAAATGACGTTTAAAATGACAGCTGACAAATCAAAGTTGCAACATCAAAAAATAGTCGTGTTTTGTTTATGAAATAGAGATAACCATTTAAGAGAATGGTAACGGTTTTTTTAAAACAGGCGCGCAATTTATTGTCGTCGATTATAATCAACTTGAAAAATATCATAGGCCGAGTCTATATAGATAATTTGTTTGGGGGAACATAATTAGTTTGTTCAATCATTTTAAGTATTCTTAAATAACAACAATAATAATTAATTTACTACAATACAAGATCGTTGGCTGTAATCAAATAATAACAAGGTCTATAATTTGCAAATAATTAAAAATGTAGCGCATTCTATGTTGAGCTGCATTTTTTTTCAAAGTGAAGTACAGTAAAGTAAGATAACAATTAAATAAGCGGCAGGCGCTAGCTAAATTTTTAGCAGCAGTAGAGCTCCTTGTGAAAGAGTTCGTTCAGGGAAGTACTACTCCTTAATGTGAGCATTACTGCGTTTCTGTTTTGAAAGTTATGGGTCCTGGTGAAATTAAAGGCACTAGACTATAGATCAAAAAGTACAGAAAAAATATGTTTTTGGGTACCGCAGACGAAAAAATTTGATTACTGACAAGTCACGTACGGACAACGCCACATCAGATTACATTTTTGTTCGAAAATCGCCTCCAGTGCAACGGAACAAGATACGTCAATGTGCAGCTTGATGAGCTGGCGTGTGTACAAGAAACACTCTGCAATCAGGTATATAATAAGAGTATATAATTTAACTGTGTTGTTAACCATTTATTCGACACGAATTTCTTCGCGCTCACCCGCGCCGAGCGGAGTCCGCTTTGCCGCCGCGCAGCGACCGCGTGCGTCTAACTGTCATGGCAAAATACGCTCTATTTATTTAGCTTTTGTGTCATCTCAGTATTTCAGTATTTATTTAATAAGCGAAAACGCAATAATATTATATTACATGTGCCCTGTAAGGGCGTAGCTAAGACTTAAAAATAATAATACTTAGACAAGAAAATTAATAAATAATAATAAATTAAAGAACAAAAATCTTAAATTGTTTAAAATAATAAAATATCTCAATAAAGTAACACAGTATCAATAAAATAATGAATCTGTGTAATTATTATAATAATTGTAAGTCTTAATATAGAGAGATCAGAGTTCTTTGTCTATAATAAAATCTTGTATTACGTAATAACACTTTTATATGAGGAGGTTATTTAATTTGTTATAAAACAGTTCGTCTTTCTGAAGTAATATATTGCATGGTATCTACGTTATATATTGCTATATACAAGGTTTTTTTTTGAAAATTGCCAGTTTAGGCGATGGAGGTACCAGCTTATGTTGTCTTCGTTCACTTCCATCACGTACAAAGAGGTTTATATTTTTTGTAACAAATAACAAACAATAATAATAACGCATACATACTCATAGCCCCGCACTAGAGATACCCTGTATCGTGGATGCCATGGACACACATAGACAATCACAAATTACACCCAAACTCACGAGAGAGAAATAAATGTAGACTATACATTGACTTATACAAATATTTCTCCCAGTCCAGGGTAACCGTTCGGCCACTGAGGCTGTTAATGTCGCTATTTCGAATGTATACAAAAATGGAAGGGTAAATATGTGTTGCTTTAAGCCGTCTCCATGGCATAAGTCTAGGATTATCCGGAGGCACTTTTTCTGTAGTACAAATATTTTTTGCGCCTCATGAGCGTGTCTCCACTGGATGACACCGTAGCGGAGTGGGGCGGGTTTCTATGAGTTTAATCTTTCTGCTGCCTTAATTTATTGTCTAACGTTCTATGAAGAAAAATGCTAGGGCGTTGCCTGAGAACCCCACATACCCTCACAATGTAGGCTATCGGACATCGATTTCAGTTTGCGAAACAAGGCGTGGTGTTTCGGAAAAAGCAAATTTGCTCTTACCGTTTTATCGACAGACGGTCGCTGTTCAACTGGTCATTAAATGTCATAAGAAGTACTTCTAAAGTTTTATAAATTCAAAAGAAATAAAATGACACAAATTTTACTCTTTTCATCATCTTTTCATATGCGATAAATTCGTGTCGTTTTATTTGTGTAGTGTTGCTAGATGATTACATTTCTTACATTTTCCGTAACTTTTTTTTGTCATATTAAGTGACGGGACGAACAAGTCGAGCGCTTTATGGTAAGCTACACGCCTGGAACACAGATATATAAGTAGGTATACTGCCGTTCTTATCGTAACTAACGTAATCGACATTTTTAGCGAAAATGAGTTATTAACATATCTGGGATTAGCCGAACGAGAATTATAACCCAGTCTAATCGGTTTTTTAATATCTTATTTAGTTTAAGTTTTATTGTTAAGCAAAATCAGCGACATTGACATTTTTTTAGGTGATAATAAAACTTAAGGTGCCAATATCTCGCCAGTTACCGAAATGCAAATGCGTCAGTTAGAGCCTATTCACATGACGAGCGTTCAACGGGCGTTTCGCTAACGGGCGCTTACAAATTAGTGAATTATGTACGTAAATCGCTGTAGATGTTTACATACGAGCGGCCATCACGCGCTTAACGCCGCGCTGCCGGGCACGTCTTGTCAACGCGCGTTGAAGCGCACTTTGAGATCATAGGTTTGCCGCACTGCCGTTCACAAGAGCGCGCGTTTTCGACGCCATGAGACGTGTTTTGTAATTGAAATTGATTTTTTTCTAGAAATGGGCACAGAAGACTTTAATACTGATTTATTCATATACAAAGTTGAGTCCTCCAATATGGAATATGATAAGTAAGGATTATTCGAATAAGATTTTAAGGAGAAAGGCTTGGGAAGAACTTGTTCTCATATTCTGAGACGGAGATGACAATGACGAGAAGAAGAAAGCATTGGGTAAGTATATATGCCGAACTTGCACTGAAACAGTGTACATTATTCAAAAACCTAAAGCGCGTTGAACGCGCGTTTAACCTGCGTTTAACGTGCATGTGAACATGATCTAATTGATAAGTAAAATCAGCGCAATTGACATCTTTTTAGGTGACAATAAAAACGTAGGTGCCATTATCTCGACAATTACCTAAATGCGTTAGTTTCTACAATCTATTGTATCAATAATGATCTCTATACATACTTAATAATATGGCCAAGTAGTACGACTATACCGACGTACATTCGTAATTATGTTAATTTTCAAATGCATAATATTTCCATACGTTAAAATTTGAAACAGTGTGGATTCCTATAGAATTTTACAGCGGCATAAATTCATTCCTTTCACCGAGCGCCAGCACCAATGCCCAGGTGGAGTATCGATTCAAGCGCGCATCATTTTTACTGCTCGTAAAACTTGAGTGTGATCGCGGAGAGGCCGAGCGTAATTACTCTACCGTTACTGCTATATTACTGCGTTGTTATTGCGTTGTTACTGCGCTGCATTAGTGCGCATGGAGCCTCGGCTACTTAATACAATGAACATTCGAGAACGTATGCGTACAATCCTCTTATATGTCGTTAGCCATCGAGGTATCCTAGGTACCATAGACCTTGGAAACCCATATTAGAAAAATAATAACTGGATGCAACACTACTTGGACCTAGAATAATGTGATTGTTGGATACTCATCGCATCATTTTGCGACCAATTTTAAAGATAATAATATTATTATTGCCTTGCGACCATTGACTTACAATTATATGGACGTCGGGTCCGCGCTAAAAAGTGTTCGAACTTATAGGGCGTTAAAATCGTATATAGAGTCACTACGTTTAAATAGGTTGACTTGGGACATTTTTTTCGTGGTTTGTGTGTTAGACCCGTCGTCCATTTATTTGTAAGTCAATGCTTGCGACCGAGATTTGATACAACAAAATTAGTGACGGAACGGAAGTGTTTTAACGGAAACAGATGTCAAAAGTAAATATTATGAAGATGTCAAATAAAAAGTTCCAAATAGGGCTTGTTTTTGGTTTCATAATTGCACTTAACAACATAAAACTGGCAAAAAATGCGCGCACCACCGCCATGCAATTCGCGCGCGCTCCAAATCCGTCACGAACGTTACTGATTAAAGGTTCGTTATGGAAGTTGCGGAAGCAGAAACCGTAGCAGATGTGAAAAAAAAAAAGATGTGAAAATCGTGTGGAACTTCCGCAGTTGCGAAGCAGAAGCAGAGGTCTATTGCATCACTAACCAAAATGATACAACTGTCTCTCTGTTTATTTAATGTTCTTACTATGCTGTTTGCTATTCTCCAAGCAATATTACCGCACCCTTGGTTGTAATAAGGTCACATCTGCAAAATGACAACTTTTCAGGAGAGAGGTTTAAAAATTTTACGAACGAAACTAGTCGATAACTTTTTATGCTTAAATAGGAGTTATGAAATTTCACACATACATAATTTGTTTCATGGAGTTCATATTATTTTTATGGCTTTCATTTAATAAATTTGACGTATGGTTACATGTGGGTTTGTTATACCAGGTCGTAGAGGGAGAATAAAAAAAAGAATAGAGAAGCTTCTCGTGTATACTGAAAAAGGATACCAACAGAGTACCCATAAATTCCGGGTTGTCTACTTTTAAAATTTTAACTCGTTAAAGAAATTGAAATGAAAATGAAGCCATGGTAGCCTAATGGTTTGACCTACTGCCTCTCAAGCAGAGGGTCGTGGGTTCGAATCGAGACTCGCACCTCTGAGTTTCTCGGAATTCGTGCGAAATTTAATTTGAAATTTATCATGAGCTTTTCGGTGAAGGAAAACATCGTGATGAAACGTTGAAGAAGGTTCAAAGTCCTCGAAAAACGTGTGCAGTCCCCAACCCTCATTGGGCCAGTGTGGTGGACTGTCGCCTAACGACTCGCCTGAGAGGAGACCCGTGCCCAGCAGTGGTACGTATAAATGGGTCCACGATAATGATGAAAT